CAATAGTGTCGATCATGTCAATCAGTTAGTACAAGCTGCTTTATATATCATGGATAACTGGATATAGATCACAAGATATTTCATGTACAGGTGGAAAACTGTGAAAATTTCATGAATTATAAAATAGAAATGTAGGTGCCGCCAATTGCAATAACAACTATGAGACTATATTGACACTCACTGAAAATCCTTACAGATTACAGCTTTGCGCGTATGGGTTATCCACTAATGCATCCTTACATAGAACTTTATCCTATTTTTAACCCAACCCTGAACCCAGTCCTGTTTCTACCTTTATTTTTCTAATCTTTTCCAGATTGTTCTTGAGACAATGACAACTCCGTCAGAATTTATTAAGTTATTTCACTATTTTCATATACTGTGGAATTCGTTTATTATGACTCCGCCTATACTGACCAACCGCTTAATATGAGGTAATTGCAGTGTTAAGTTTGGTTTTCATATTAAATTCCCTGTAGAAAAGTTTGGATGTAACGTCTCCGTTTAAAATGACATATCGTTTATAATGACTGATTCTCAAGAAATCATATCCGGCTATAGTCAGCCAAATTATTAATAATAACATTTTCGCTCATTTTTCTGACCCTTATATATATTGATATTACAATTCATCGTTCTTTTTCATTTTCTATTAATAAATATATACAATTTGTAGTTTTTCTCTCTATTAAACTAAATACTAACCAAAATATAAAGTTGTTTATTTTCTAAGATTACGAATTGTATGACGCCCGCTTAGTATGACGTGTTTGTCATTTCCCTTCGATGTCATTATAAGCGGATTCTCCTGTACAACGACGTTAATGAAGAGTCGCATTTCTACAAATCGCTTTAAAATCCATTGGGTGCTTTTTTGAGAATTTTGAGTTTGATTGGTAACCCACTTTTTTGCATTTTATTACAGAAGATAAAATAATTGATAGATATAATTGTCCTAAGCTCGGGATATTAAGAAAATTTAGAATCTACAGCCAATTCAGCATATCGCCTGTATTGACTGAATAGCGAATGTCCAAATCTTCTAAACGAAAATGCAGTAATGCTTTTAGACAGGGTAGTGCGTGTTAGTTGGAGAGAAACTACAACAATTTCATTTCAGATACAGAATTGTCGACTTAATTTCCTTCTTTTTTCGCCGTTTTCTTTTGGACTGACGTATTTATAACAAACGACTGGCCATCTGCTTCTATTTCGGTGGCCGGTCGTCGTCGATGTTAAATGCCTTCCCGTTTGTCACTGTCGGACTCGGCGAGCACCACACCTTTTATTAGGTATAACAACGATCTCCTCTCCGACTCGACTGTACACTTATTACATGCATTAACTATACATCTCGCTCTCGGCTCTTCTCTCGGAGTATGCCTTCCTTCGCGGCTTAATCATCTTGCTTGCATAGCCCACTTTATATTACGTTCGCGCAAACCGACAACATTACGCCCATGCGTGACGGTTTTTTTTGTTGAATTCTACGCCCCCGCACGCGACCTATTGTCAAGAAATTTATAATGACCACGTCTAGATGGCGCCCATCCAGTTGTTATAATTCACATTGTCCGAGAAACGCGCGCTGCAAATTAGCCATGAGTAATACATACATAGGTATATGTACTAAGTGTGATATTTTATAAAAAAATATCGAGCAGGTATATTTTAAAAGTTATTCACCTATTATTGAAAGGTTGAGGGTGCGTTTTTAAGTTTACGGAATGGGTAGGTAGGTCATTAGTGAGGGTACTTACTCGAGTCATTACGAATTAGTCAAATCATTATTAGAATAAATACCAAGTTAAATTAGGTCAGTCGGCTTTGAATTATCGTCAACCAAACAAGTCAATCGGGAATAAATTGTGAAAAAGATCGAAATCGCGATCCGCGTCTGGCAGTTTCGACAGAATACAGACCACTTCGAATTATTTTATTAGATATTTAGTCCACAATTTGATTTAAACGTTTTAATGCGAGATCTGATCTAGTTTCTCTCTGGAAGAAAAGAAATCCTGTTATAGTATATGGGTGTCGTGTTACGTATACGTGGTACGTACCACGCACTCGTTATTCACTGGAAATTTTTTCTTTTGAACTATATAGCGTGAATCAATTCCGATGTCTCTTCGACTTCGACTGTTTATTTTAGCGAAAACCAACATGATGCCAATCTTTTAGACTTCTGTTGCCTGCTGTAGTAAACATATTGAAGATACGAACGTGTAACATAAACCACAATGCACATTGCACACCGACACAGGCATGAGATAGCACAAGCGGGTGGGAGGGAATAAGATACGGACAGTATGGTATGGTGTTCGGTGGGTGCTTCGTGATGCTGATGATGCAGGCAGGTAAACAACCAACCGGTCGCAAATGGGAACCATACAACCCTGTTGGGGACATTTTACGCTAATGTTCTCGTCGTCGACCGGGTTATTGTAAATTGTCCTTCAAAGCACCCCAGCGTGTGGTAAACTCAGGTCGAACTTCGATGAACGATGGTACGAATGTTTTTCATTTTATGTTCAAAGTTACACTCGGGTCATTCTTCAACACAGGTCTGGTCTAACCAGGTATATATTTGCATGACAGTTATGATTTTTATCTCTAAAGTATTTTGTAATTTGTCGCTGTAGTCGGTTCCTAGAAAATAAACGAAATATTAGAGTAATATTAAGGCTAAAGATTCTTCCCGCTTTTTCCGACTTTGGTTTAAGTTTGCCACCAAAATCAACCCCCAAAACCTATAATTATTACAGTGATGTAACTATGTACCAATTTGCGGTTTTTTAATTTCTCCCTCTGTGTCTAATTGTGCTATAAATATAAAACATTGCTTCTTGTCAAATTTCATGATTCTAAGTCAATGGGAAGTACCCTATAGATTTGGATTCCCTTGCGGCTGTCAAAATATACTCCATAAAATGTCGTATCTTTTGATAGATTTCATTTAGAAGTTTAATTTTTACACGGCTTCGGCACATTACAGACCGGACTATTTGAAATGAATCTCAGATTGGGACCTCCACGCATTCTTCTAACAAAAAGGATCTTGAATCACAAACATACGGACAATGAAGTAGTCCTGTAAGAGTTATGGAACCCTAAGAATGATGAAAATAAAAAACTGTAAACACAATAATTTGTCGTTTATCAGTCTCGAATTGATCAACGAAAAACAATTAGAGAGCTGTCAGGTTGGCACTCACTGCACATCGCTTATCTAGAAGTAGAAACATCGTAGAACTAAAAGTACTGACATATTTTAGCGACAAATTGTAAAACTTTGACTATTTTTATGCACTGTTTCTATTTGGGTATACACTAGTTGTAGTGTCAACTTGACGGTTCTCCAATGGATTTTTGCTGATCAGTTCGAAGCTTTAAGACTGGATTCGCTATACAACGGGTAAAAGTACCTTCAACTAAAAATTAGCGACAAATTACAGTCCTTACAAAATTTTTCAACCCCATTCATTTCGAGATACGTTTGTACACGTTTGTATAGTACCACCCTAACGGTTTTCTACTCAAAAATGAGTAAAGTAGAAAAACTGACGATAATTTATGATTTACATGGAGATACCAGGCTAGAATTTCAGTAATCTGCTGGAGCGACAATGTTTTGAATTGATAACAAATTAGGCATACGTTTTTGCTCTATTAATTAAAATAGTAGTGGTAAAACTAAAATACTGGTATGCAAGGGAAGAAAAAGTATGGGAAAGAGCGAATATAAAGATAGGAGACGAAAAATTAGAAGAAGTGGCTGATTTTAGACANAAATGGCAAGTATCCTGTAGTTCTTGTTTGTTTGATGAGTTCCTAGGAGTCTACCCTGAACAGCTGTAGAAACTAGGGATTAGTAAGAGACACTAATTTTTAAGTTTAAGAAAAGTGGCCAAAATCCCACAGTTTTAGAATCTAAGAAGAGTTCTGCGGCTGTGAAATACTTCTAAAGGACTAGTTCTAGTCAAAACAGAACTATTGCAGAAACTCCCGATTAATGAGAGACCTTGATTTGCCAAATATTCCTTTTTCGATAGAAGAATAACCAGCACCCCGCAATTCTAGGATATATGAAGAGTTCTACGGCTGTAAAAAACTTCGAAGGAGGTAATTTTAACCAGAACAGAACTACTGTAGACACTTCCGATTAGTGAGAGATTCTGATTTTTAGACCTGTAACTCGTCAAATATTCCTTTTAAGCACCCGACAGTTCTAATCTCTAGTTTGACGGATCCTAATAGACATTACTAAATAGCACAGTTTAGATCACATTCAAATCCTTTCGACGAGAACTGTTTTTATACAATCAGACAAACAGAGAGATAGCAATTTCAGATAAAAAATCTTTCGACTTTTTTATGAGCTTCAAGGAATTTTACAGAAACTACTTCATTATTTTTGTGGCCCAATATAATGCAAAATCAGCACCTGGTTCGTCAGAATGAAGTGATCGTGGTATATTTAAATGAATGTATGTAAATTTAAAAAACAACATTGTGATAGAAATATGTGCACCTGCAAAATAATGACGAACATTGTAACAAAACATTAGCCGCTGGCATTACAGTCTGCTGTGTTTTAATAAAAAGGTATTTCAGTTTTTTTTTTCATTGTCAGCTGAGTGTTTTCGTTGTCATTTATTAGTACTCATTTTATGTGTTGTGGCATAAACACTTTAATATCTTTTAATTATGTTATATTTTGAAACATTGGTATACTACATGATATTTATGCCAGCTTATTTTCATTGTATTAATTTAATATTTATTTAAACGGCTAATTACATATGTTTATGCTTTGTATACAATTTACCTTAGCATGAATCGTCTAAGTTGACTGATCGGTGGTAAAAAGCTTTAAAATTATTTTTCAGTTTTATTCGATTTTTGAGGACCCAACAGAGAATGTTCATGTTTTTTTAAATAAATTTTATTGTACTTATATATGTATATGGACAATGAATTAATTTGTCTTTGTTATTGTTACAGATGTTAAACCTTCTCGAAAAAGTCAATAAAATCGTGTTCATCAAGGTTTTTAATGGAAAATAATTATGGTAAGTTTCTTTATTATGTTTTCTGTTAATGTAAGCCCTTAGACTTTCTGTAACAAGTCAAATAGTGCGAAAGTATAAACAATTATTGTCGTAACTGATAATATTTTTAAAGTAGGCACATGTATGTATGTTGATATGTATATGTTCGCTTCAATATAAATGTATGTTAACTTTTAAATTATTAATTTGACTGTTATCAACCTGATACATTAATTCGTTATTGGTTTTGATTGATGAGGCAGATAATTTCGATTGATATAACAATGAAAATCATCGCAATATGGATTATAAAAAAATTACAATTTAGAGTAAATAAATAATCAGTGATGTCAGAATTTTTTTGATTTTCTGAGGTAAACAGGAAGTGTAATGTAAGTAAAAATGTTGACAAGGTTTGTCGTAATTTTATCTTTTTGGTTTAAAATTTAAATGTGGCTGAAAATCTTTTAAAAAATTTGGAATACAACAGTAATTTAAGACTGTCGAATAGGACGGAACGCAGTAGGGCGCCTGGGTGCGTTCAATTTTCACTACCTTTATATTACTCGTTACAAATACATACCACTGATTTGGAATACTTCCTGCTTTCAACATTAGACGTATTTGATGTTCGAAAAAGATAATGTTGTTATCAAGAATCTTGTAATCAAAATGAAGTCAAACTAAGCGATAACAAGTAATTAATTACTATAGATGTTATTTGTTGAAATTATTTTGTCGATAATAAACAAATAAGAGAAAACTAAACAGGTTCAGGTATGGAGGTAGAACATAGAATTAGGTTGGAAAATATATTATGCAAATGTAATAAGGATGCATAAAAGATGACCAATTTATAATTAAATAATTTATTATGTTGTCGAACTTCGATAAATTAGAATTTTTAAATGACATATGCACAAAAATGTGTTGTCATAACGCGAATCGAACGTCATTTATGCTTACTAACTATGTTCCGACATTTCACCATGAGTCGTTTAACTAATGCCGGGGTGTCTAACCCAAATGATCTTGCGGACCACTTGATGATTATAAAGTCATTAATAAAACAGGCAATATTTGTCATATATTCATAAGAATATCGTTTTAGAATTAAAGTTAATTTTCTTTCATAGTTAGTTCAACAGTTAATTTTTGAATATATGGTAGCGCAAATACTTAATGTATTGCTTTCTACTACATCATCATTATCATCATAGGGTCGTCAGTCCTAAGACTGGTTGGATATGCACCTCAACCCATTACTATTTTGAGCTAATTCTTGCATTTTCCTAAATTTAGGACATCCCACACCCTTAACTATTTGTCATCTTATCTAGGTCTACCTGTGCTCCTCTTAACTCCTGTTTCTGCTTCTAATATGTCTTCATAACTAGACCCTTCTCCCTGGGGAGGTATCCTACCAACCTGTCTCACCTATTTCTTATTGACTTCCGTAGCGCCACAATGAATTTAGTATTAACAAACCATTTCGCGACATGGTCCTATTATCTAACTGCCAAGGTAATGCGATCTTATTAGGCTCCTGAACTTTTTTCTTTGGGGATATCTAAAGTCATTGGCGTACACTAAAATTCTTCAAACCAACGACGACATAAATTATTTACGAAATCAAACCCAACTTGCGTGATACGCTTCTCAATTAGGATTTGTGAATTACGTTTTTATTATTTTTGATATAAGAGCGATTTAAAAAAATATGTCATCCTAATTGGTTGGCATTTTAATTCACAAAATTATAACTATAGGTATATTTCTTTTCGTTTCTCTAGCGATGTGACCTTTAGTTTGACCGGCGCAAAGTAGAAAAGAACAGCACTAGGCCAGAAAAGAAAGGAGACAACTCTCGGCCAAACTCTTAACCGGTGAGGAGCGTATAATCCGTACAGTACTGCACGGAAAAATTGACCATTTTATCCACTACAATTGCATTGCTCA